GACCAAACCTGTTCACAGGCAGTACCTGCAGCCCATCAGCGCCTCGGGCTGTCAACCAGAAGGGTCCCCCGGAGCCTTCCATGTCATCCTGGAAAACACAGTGACTCGGGTCTGTGTCTCTTCTTAAAGAAAGAGACCCTCTCTGAGGCCAGCCACTGGCCCGAGGCAGAGATCCGGCCATGGCTGAGCGGGCGGACACCAAGGGTCCGGTCTCCTGGCAGCAGCCATCCTCGTCCTCGAATAAGAAGGGTCTGGCTGGGGGCAGGGACGGCTGGATGGGGGCCCGTTCACAGAGCCTCGTAAGTTTAGGTCACTCGTTCTTGCTCCACGCGTGTGCCAGGGACCTGGCTGAGTGATGGTGCTCAGTCTCTGCTTTTGTCTCCCTGGAGCAGCCCTTCAGCATCACTCGTGGGACACGGTCCCCGAGCAGAGACCATTTGAGCCTGTTCCCTCCCAGCGGCCATGGCTCCACCATGAGGCACTGTCCAGGCAGTGGTGGACTCAGGAGACACACCCACACTCACTGTGCCAGCCAGCCCATTCTGCTGAGCCCACCCAGCCGCTCACAGCTCACACATGGGGATTCCACTACGGGCAGTCGGTGTGGGATGCTGGGAGGAGCTGTGGGGCACAGACCGAGGCTTTCTGGGGCCAGGAGCAGCTGGTACTCACAAACCCTGCGGGAAGTCCTGGTCCTGGAGGCCCGGGGGGCCCTGGGGGTCCTGGGGGTCCTGCTGGTCCGGGGGCTCCTGCCAAGCCGTTCTCTCCAGGAGCACCCATGGGGCCGGGGTCTCCCTTGCTTCCCTGCACAGGTGGAGAGAGAATGTCATCACTCTGGGCCATCAGGGTGGGTGTCGGCTGAACCCTGACAGGGCAGTCACTGTGTCCCCAACACACCTACGTTTCCTTACAAAGCTTTTTACAAATCTGCAAGGCCACAGAGATAAATAATGTTCCATGAAGCAAGCAAACCCTGCTGCACCTCTCTTCTGAATTTACGAGAGGATTTCATCCACTTAAAAATGAAATAACTGAGCTGTTCATTCCAGGGGAGCGAGACGCGAGTCGCTCATGATTTGGGGTGCACCATGCACAGAGCATGCTGCACAGTTGGGGCTGGTGGGGATGGAGATGGACAGCCAGGGGGTGCTGTGAGAGGTGACGGAGAACGGTGCTGCTGGAAGGAGCCTGGGGAGGAGGCAGGGGGACTTGGAGTGAGTCTGGAAGGCCTGGTACCCCATTACTACTGCAGAAGTTGGGGTGTGTGGGGGGGGGGTGGGATGGGACATGTTGCTTCCCTGCACAGGTGGGGAGAGAATGTCATCACTCTGGGCCATCAGGGTGGGTGTTGGCTGAACCCTGAGGCAGTCACTGTGTCCCCAACACACCTACATTTCCTTACAAAGCTTTTTACAAATCTGCAAGGCCATAGAGATAAATAATGTTCCATGAAGCAAGCAAACCCTACTGCACCTCTCTTCTGAATTTACGAGAGGATTTCATCCCAGCCGTCCTAGCTGACTATGGACGTAGTGTCTGTCCGGCTGCTCCCTCTAACTGAGACGGCTGAGGCGCCAAGCCAGAGAACTCAGTGACTGAGATTTCGCAGGAAGGAGCATCTTTCAGGGCTCATTCCACCCCACATTCATTCATCGCGACCACCAGGGCATGTTCCCACGTGGGAGAACCTCCACGGTGGACGAACCTCCAGGGTGGACGGTGCCCCAGACTCAGTTGGTCTCACTGGCTCTCTAGTGCTGCTCTTGGTCCCCACTCAGGCCTGTCCCAGGGACGCCCCTGCCCCAGGTGCCCCTACACCCCAGAGCCGACCAAACCTGTTCACAGGCAGTACCTGCAGCTCATCAGCGCCTCGGGCTGTCAACCAGAAGGGTCCCCCGGAGCCTTCCATGTCATCCTGGAAAACACAGTGACTCGGGTCTGTGTCTCTTCTTAAAGAAAGAGACCCTCTTCCACCCCACATTCATTCATCTCGACCACCAGGGCATGTTCCCACGTGGGAGAACCTCCAGGGTGCTGCTCTTGGTCCCCACTCAGGCCTGTCCCAGGTACGCCCCTGCCCCAGGTGCCCCTGCACCCCAGAGCTGACCAAACCTGTTCACAGGCAGTACCTGCAGCCCATCAGCGCCTCGGGCTGTCAACCAGAAGGGTCCCCCGGAGCCTTCCATGTCATCCTGGAAAACACAGTGACTCGGGTCTGTGTCTCTTCTTAAAGAAAGAGACCCTCTCTGAGGCCGGCCACTGGCCCGAGGCGGAGATCGGCCATGGCTGAGCGGGCGGACACCAAGGGCCCAGTCGCCTAGCAGCAGCCATCCTCGTCCTCGAGTAAGAAGGGTCTGGCTGGGGGCAGGGACGGCTGGATGGGGGCCCGTTCACAGAGCCTCGTAAGTTTAGGTCACTCGTTCTTGCTCCACGCGTGTGCCAGGGACCTGGCTGAGTGATGGTGCTCAGTCTCTGCTTTTGTCTCCCTGGAGCAGCCCTTCAGCATCACTGGTGGGACACGGTCCCCGAGCAGAGACCATTTGAGCCTGTCCCCTCCCAGCGGCCATGGCTCCACCATGAGGCACTGTCCAGGCAGTGGTGGACTCAGGAGACACACCCACACTCACTGTGCCAGCCAGCCCATTCTGCTGAGCCCGCCCAGCCGCTCACAGCTCACACATGGGGATTCCACTACAGGCAGTCGGTGTGGGATGCTGGGAGGGAGCCGTGGGGCACAGACCAAGGCTTTCTGGGGCCAGGAGCAGCTGGTACTCACAAACCCTGCGGGAAGTCCTGGTCCTGGAGGCCCGGGGGGCCCTGGGGGTCCTGGGGGTCCTGCTGGTCCGGGGGCTCCTGCCAAGCCGTTCTCTCCAGGAGCACCCATGGGGCCAGGGTCTCCCTTGCTTCCCTGCACAGGTGGGGAGAGAATGTCATCACTCTGGGCCATCAGGGTGGGTGTTGGCTGAACCCTGAGGCAGTCACTGTGTCCCCAACACACCTACATTTCCTTACAAAGCTTTTTACAAATCTGCAAGGCCATAGAGATAAATAATGTTCCATGAAGCAAGCAAACCCTACTGCACCTCTCTTCTGAATTTACGAGAGGATTTCATCCACTTAAAAATGAAATAACTGAGATGGTCATTCCAGGGGAGCGAGACTCGAGTCGCTCATGGTTTGGGGTGCACCATGCACAGAGCATGCTGCACAGCTGGGGCTGGTGGGGATGGAGATGGAGAGCCAGGGGGTGCTGTGGCAGGTGAGGGGGAAGGGTGCTGCTGGAAGGAGCCTGGGGAGGAGGCAGGGGGGCTTGGAGTGAGTCTGGAAGGCCTGGTACCCCATTACTACTGCAGAAGTTGGGGTGTGTGGGGGGGGGGGGGGATGGGACATGAGGCACAGCCTAAGGGAGGAGCAAGAGTCAGGACACAGGTACAATGTGGGGTTCCAGTCTCAGACACAGACCTACTGCTCAGAGCTGGAGGATCCCAAGGTCAGGCAGGAGCCCAGTGCAAGAGAGAAGGACATTGGGACCCCAGACAGGGAGGCCCTCCTGCTGAGTCCAAAGCTGGACCAGTGCCGCCCCCTTGTGGCCACCTGACCCCTGAGCTCAGTTCCCTCATCTGTAAATGGAGATGACCAGATTTGGGAAGGGCTGTGAAGGACACTCCAAGCCCACTGATACACAACAAGGGCACACGTGTGACCACTGCCCTATGCTGGCAGCATGCCCTGCCTAATGGCAGGAGGGCACCTTTCTCTGGCCCAGGCAGTCCTGACCACAGCAGGATGGACAGAGCCCGTGATCAGCACCAAGGACAGCTCCCTGGCCCCTGAGCCTGCCTGCCCACTCCTGTGCCCTCGTGGGGGGCGGGGCCTACGTCCACCCAGCGGCCACTCCCGACCTGGAAGTCTATCTTACCTTAGGTCCTGGGGTGCCCACTTTGCCCTGCAGGAAAGAGAATAATTACTATACAGGCCAGTGAGCAGCCAGCAAGAGGAAAGCACGCAGGGTCTCATTCCTTTATCCCGGCCCACAGGCCACTATGTTCCCATTCCTGTGGACTTATTCCTTTGTGATTTCCCTCTCTTCTGGACCTGGGAGCTGGGATGCCTCGCTGCTGCTCCCACAAGACGTGCATCTAACACTCCAAGCGCCCCTCTTGGCCTGGTGTACCTCTCTGGCTGTTCCCACCACTGCCTGTTCCAGGTGGGGACAGAGGCCCCAGGGGAGGCTCGGCCGTGGGGGCCAGTACTGAACCGCTGCCAAGAGCCCGTCCCACAACTGTGTGCCAGGTAGCAAATGCCCAGGAGAGCCCTTTTAGCTCAGGTGGCCAAAGTGAGGAGCTCTGAGCAGAGGGGTTCTCTTAAAATTCACCCCCTCAGCTGAGCCCAAAGTAGCCGTGTGCTCACAGATGGTGCCACATGGAAGCATCTTCCAATGGCTGTGGGTTGGCACACCCCCAGCCCCGCCGTCATTCGCAGAAAACCAGAAGGAAACCACAACTCCAATTAGAGGTTTGTGCAGCCTTGAAAATTTCTCCATTACTGATGCAACCACAATTGAAACTTGAAATAAAACGTCCAAATCAAATGAAGTGTTAATATTCTTCAAAAACATCAGTCCAAAAATCATCAGTTCAGAGAAACAGTGGTAACGAGGCCCTGAATTTTCACACGAACCCCAGCCAGCCGCGGCTCTGAGCAAACTCGGGGAGCCCGAGGCCCCCGCTGTCGCACTGTGACGACGGTGGTGATGGTGGCTGCCTGTTGGAGTAAAGTCACCCACAACCTTGGGTGTTGCTGCCCTGATGGCATTTCTCCTCATGAAGTCACCAGGGCCAAACCCCACATGCAGGGTTTGGTCACCCTCTGGCCACACTATGTGGCTGCAGGACACATCCACCCTGGACACCTGAAGAAGTGACTTACAAGGCTGCCTTTCTGGCCGGCCTCTCCTGGCCGCCCGTCTTTTCCTGGGGTTCCTGGAGGTCCCTGAAGGAGAGAAAGCAGAGTGTGGGGCCGGAGGGAATTCAGCAGCTGAGAAAGAGGTGGGTCAGCAGATGATCTGGGTGTCCACAGATTTCCTGAGGATCAAGGACACACGCAAACCCCATGGCTCGCAGTAACACACGTCAGGAAGCTCATGCTGCTCCACCCAGATTTTAAATTTCTTTCCTTTTTTTGTTTTTTGTTTTTTTTTGGGGGGGGGGTTGAATTGCTCGTCAAATTGAGGGACCTCTGGACCCCTGGTGAGGGGGCTGCCTCACCCACGATGTTGGGGCGGACTCTCATTGAAGTGGGAGGGCATGCTGTCAATAGGATGACTCCACACCTGGTGAATTACGCATCCAGAGCACGCTATCAAGTGAAAACCAGGCTCCCCGCACCTGGTTTCTGTGACCTGATTGCAATAGTGACATCTGTGGGCATCGCCAGGCCCCTGTGTTTGTTCCCAGTGCCAGGAGCAGGGGAGTAGCCGGGCTCTGAGACCCCTGTGAATGGTGAGTTGGCCAACGTGGGCCCCACACAGCCCCTGGTCCTCAGGCAGTGGGCCCACCCTGACCCCATGAGAATCACCCCTGGAGACGACCTCTGTGAGGTCGGCTGCCCACTGAGGGACAGAGAGGTGACTGGCATTGCATGCGGTCACCCGGCAGGTCAGGGCCCAAACCATCAGGTTCCTCCCCACCGAGAGTGGGGAGCCCTCCCTCCTGAGGACAGAGTAGAGGCGGTGAGGGGAGCTTCTGCCCAGACAGGAAGAGGCCCCCACACTTAGTGTTCCCCCACATTCCCAGCCGACCCTGATAGGGACAAGGGCAGCTGAGGGGAGGCAGGTCTTACTGGGGGGCCGGGGATCCCAGGCTGTCCATCCCGCCCAGGCACACCGGGAAGGCCTGCGGGTCCTGGGATGACGGAGCTGTTCACCCCAAATCGGCCTGGCTCTCCGGGAAGGCCTGGGACGCCGGGGGGCCCGGGGGGGCCAGGGAAACCTCTCGGGCCCTGGACACAGAAAAACAGAACAGTCATGCACACAGCACCCGAAAAACTCCCTTCCTCTCCCCTTGTCACAGAGACACCCCAGCCGAGGGACACTCACCCGAAGGCTCTCGGGGTCACCGCTGAACCCGGACCCCTCCATGTCGATGAAGGTCTGAGGGAAAGCACAGACACCGTCACCCAGAGCCCTGAGCTGTGCCCCGGCCCAGCCCTGTCTGCATTCGGGGGAGCCCACCCCCGCTCCTCCCCCTGCACTATGCTGTCTGTCCCCTAGGCACTTCCCATCTCACCACCAGGGAAAGACAGGAAGCAGAGAGAGAGTGAACACCCCACCCTCTCCACTGAGTGAAAGAAGCGTGAAGGAGGCCCCTCTGAGGCCCAGAACCAACCGGAGGGCCCCTGTCCGACTCCCTGGGCACCATAGGCCCAGACACCTGACTCCCCTGGACCCAGACACCCCCAGGAAGGCTGGCTCCAGGTCTGAGGCCACGTAGGGGATGAGAGGGTCCCTCCTTGGGACAGCGGGCGGACACCGTGGTGGAAGAGGCCTGTGCAGGACTCACCAGCTTGTCGTGTCGGAAGGAGGGTCCTGGTGGCCCTGGAGGCCCTTGGGGTCCTGGGGGTCCTCTTGGCCCAACTCCAGGATCCCCCTGGGAACAGAAGAAGCCGGGTTACACCAGGGAGCACAGCCCTGCTATGGATCAGGGCTCCACCCACAGCCCCGGCCAGGCTGGACTCACCTTCTCGCCCTTGGGGCCCACGTCTCCTGGGGTTCCCGGGAAGCCCTGCGGGCCTATGTCACCCTGGAAGACAGGCAGGCAGCTTAGGCAGGGAGAAGGCCTCTCTGCCCCATCACGTCTGAGCCACAGACGTGCAGCTTGTGGCTGTGAGCCCTGGATGTCTGCTCCCACTCAGAGCACCCAGCACCGAGGAGCAGAGCTGAGCCTGAGCTGGGTCCGCAGGTGGGCACTCCTGACCCTGGGGATTCCCGAGGCTCAGCACGTGACCCCGCCTTACAGAGAGCACCTGGGAGAACCTGCCAGGGCTGCCTGCAGCATCCTGGCCATCCTCACCGGAGCGAGGGCGCTCTGCCCCTTGTGCGGGTTCGTGCCATGTGTGTACTACCTTTCCTGTCAGGGTTGGTCATGTGCCACTCCCTCCTGCCTGCTGCCGTTTGCCGGTCTCTTGCTTCCCAAATCTTTGTCACTCTCTTGTGTCATTTCATTGTGTTTCTTAGGACGAGTGTTGATTTTTAAAAATCCAAATGAAGAATTTTAAGATAAAAACTCTACATGGATTGAGATGGCAGCTAATGAATCTAACTAACACCTGCAAATAACCGTCTCCTGCTCTGTGTGTGCTGCCTCCGACCGCGGGCAGCCTTTCATTTCTGTTACGCACTTTTTCCCTCTAAGGATTTGGAAGCTATACCTTCCCCCCGCCCCCTTTTTTATCCCTGGTAATCAACCTAAACATTTCAATACATACACATAACTTTATTATTTTTTTTTATCCTCACCGGAGAATATCTCTCCATTGATTTTTAGAGAGAGTGGGAGGAAGGAGGAGAGACAGAGAGAGAGAAACATTAATGTGAAAGAGACACATTGATTGGTTGCCCTCTGCACATGCCCCAACCAGGGCCAGGGATCGAGCCTGCAACTGAGGTATGTGCCCTACACCGGAATCAAAACCCGGACCCTTCAGTCTGGAGGCTGATGCTCTATTCACTGAGCCAAACCGGCCAGGGCATCTATACTAATAAAAGTGTAATATGCTAATTAGACTAGACGTCCTTCCGGACGACCTTCAGAACAAAGCCGGGACTGCGAGAGCCGAGCCCCTTGTATGAATTTTGTGCATCGGGCCTCTAGGAACTTTATACTTTTCTACCAAGAGTTATACTTGTGTGTTTTTTAACTCCGTATTTTCTTAGCGAAGTTAGGTTGCATTTTCTAAATGGCTTCATTTTGAAACCTCTTCACTGTGTTGAGCCTGAGGAGTGTCACAGGGTAAAAAGTGCTGAGGGCCTTACACAAATGTCAGGTAAGAGGCGGGCCAGAGAGAAAAGCACACTTACGGGTCTTCCGTCTTCCCCAGGGTCGCCCTGGAACATGCGAGAGAAGTGGTTAGTGATGGACTCACGGCTCGGGCCCCACCCCATCTGGCGTGGAATCGGACCCGGGGCTGCACGCCTCCACAGCCCTGACTCCCGTGGGAGAGCGGTCTGTGTGGGAGGGAAGCACCTTCCACCCATCGTCTGACCACCTTCGTCCACAGCTGGCTCTGCCCGCAGCCTCCCCAACACCCTCCCGCTCTCCCGCAGGGAGGGGAGCAGCCCACACAGTGCCTACCATCCTGGGGTCTCCAGGGTCCCCAGGGCCCACTGCTCTCTCCCCTTCCTGCCTGAACCCCACCCCAGCAGGACCGAGGAGAAATGTGTACTCACTGGCTCACCGTCCCTTCCAGGGGCACCATCCTTCCCTGGTGGCCCCGCGGGTCCAGGGGGCCCCTGCGGCCCAGGGACAGCCCGTGCATGGGGGCTCTGCTCCACGGGGCCTGCGAGACCCTGGGAGGAGGAGAGGGCAAGGCTGGAGGGCCACACACACGCTTACCTGCCCACACCACCACTCCTGTGTCCTGGGCTGGGTCAGTACCACACAGGGACACAGGGTGGACACACACAGGAGACACAAACAAGAGTGGACATGCACAGGGTTCGGGCAGGTGGCACCACAGGGACCTGCCCAGTTGTCCCCTCTCCCTGCCCACATGCTCCTCATGCTCTGGCCAGAGCCTCCCAGCCGTGCCCACCTGGTGCCAGGCGTAGGGACACAGAGAAAGGGTATGGGTTCAGAACTCCATCGGGTCACCCGTGAGGGGACCAGAGGGACTGACTACTCTGGGGCCCCCATGGGTCTGGGCCAGGGTTGCGGCCTCACCTCTTCCAGGACATGGCTGCTGTCCCAGGTGATGACTGTACTTGAGCCAGGAAGGGTCTGAGCTGGGGGTGGGGGACAGAGGTCAGGCCCTGAACATGGCCCAGCTTCTGCCCTCAGCTCACGCTCCCCTCCAGGGCCGCCCATCACCCCTAAGCACCCACTCCAGTTCTTTCTCCCTCACACTCACACGATACTCCACTTCTCTCTCACACTCACTGTTATACACACACACACACACACACACTCCACTTCTCTCCCACTCACTGTCACACACACACTCCACTTCTCTCACATTCACTGTTCTCTCTCTCTCTCACACACACACACTCCACTTCTCTCACACTCACTGTTCTCTCTCTCTCTCTCACACACACACACACACACACACACACACTTCTCTCACACTCACTGTTATCTCTCTCTCTCTCTCTCACACACACACACACACACACACACTCCACTCCTCTCGCCGAGCCCCTAGAATCCCCTGCATAATCATGACCCTTCCCCCTGAATGCCACGTCTCCCAAGAACGAGTACGTTCTTGAACAACCTGATGGTCTCACTTGGGAAACAGCACTGTCACATACAGTGACCTAACGCAGCCGGATTCAGGCTTCCCCACTGCCCAGTGGTGTCCTGTGTGACTTCTTTTGGGGAGATGGTGACAGTGGGGAAACCAGGCCCCACCAAGGATCCTGCCCAGAGGCCAGCTCTGGCGCAATCAGCCCTGCCTGAGCGGCGCATGTCCCAGAGCTGTGCACACACCACCCCGCAGAGAGGAGCGGCCCAAGCCAGTGCCGTGCGAGTGCGTGTGCCCGTTCCCCATCGCCCCTGCTCCTTGCTTCTCCCATTTGTCAATTTCCTCGCTAGCTGCAGGGTGGGCGCCTTACCCTCTGTGCTTGACATGTAAAATTTGTGGGTGAATTTTGACAAAGTTCCCCAAAACCTTTCACCCGATCATTCCAGCATCACAGAGTCCATTAGCAAACACAGGGCTCGTGCTGGGTTGAAATGTCCCAGGCACTTGGTGACCTGCAGAGGCCCCATCTTCAGAGGGAAGTTCAGAGGAGTGTCTGACCCTTCTGGGGTTTGACCGGCTTCGGGGACAGCCTAGCAGCAGAGCTGGGGACCGGATGGATTTGAGGCCCTTCATCCCACCTGGGCCCGACGACTCCCGAGGGAGCTCTCACTGCCAGGGCTGCACAGCATCACCCGCGGGCAGAGCTCTGGGCGATTCCTGTCCTGTTTCCAGCAGAAACCGAAGCTGCATCCATGTGTGGGCATCTCCCACCACCCACCCTCTGCTCTGCTCAGGTGGATGCTGCCCAAGCACCCCTGACGCCCCTTCCCCTGGACCCACTGAGTCACACGTCAGCCTCAGGAGGGCAGCCCAGCCCCTTCCCCCCGATGGCGTGGGGTGGAAACCGCCCAGGATGCATTCCAGGAATTAGTGTGATTGAAGGCAGATTTAAAAGCCCCGCCTACGCGAACATTTAAAATGGAAAAAGCATCACTAAGAGAAGAGGAAAGGGACCTCCGTACAGGAAGAGGGACTGTGTTTCTGGGTCAGGAGACTCCGTGTTCTTTTTCTTTCTTTAAGACTCGGTATTCGTGAGCTGTCCCAGCCCCTCCCCCAATACTGACTTATGGACTCAACGGCATTCCAACCCAAAACCCAGCCGGCTGTTCTTAAAAACACACACAGACAAACCTATTCTAAAGTTCGTAAGAAAAGACACAGGACAGAGAACAGCAGAGCAGTTGTGTCAGGGACGGGCGGATCCGGGAAACGATAAACAATAAGGACCTGATCCCGGGCCTCCGCACAAGGCCGCATCCACACTGGCAGTGCGTCCCACCGTCAGGACAGACAGGCAGACCCACGGACACAGGGGAGTCCAGAGACAGGCCCACACAGACGGCAGCTGGCGCTCAGCAAAGGCCCCAAGGCAGCTGGGGGCGGGGGAGGACGATACGCTTTTTGACAAATGGAGCTAGAAAAACGGAACCTGTATAAGCAAAAAATAAAAGAACCGAGATCCACACTTTATGCCCAGACGGCCCCTGGACACACAGGACAGTGAGGCGGGGCTGGGCTGCCCCGTGGCCCAGGGGGCCTGCGCCCCTCACTCAGAACTCTTGGGGGGGCCAGGCGTTCCGCCCACCTTGCCATCCTGCCTGCGCCTTGGGAAGCACGTCCCCGACAGATGCCACAGGCAGCACGTCCTCAGCCTCGGAGGGACGATCTTGGGGGACCGCTGGACGGTTCTCACTCATCCGTTTTCTTTTCTGTTTCTAATTTGGCTGCACTGACCATGTATTATTTTATTAACTTAAAACGCAATCAATGCTTTTATTCTAAATGAAAAAGGTCTATATAAGCCTCTAAAACAGTGGTTCTCAACCTGTGGGTCGCGACCCCTTTGGGGGTCGAACGACCCTCTCACGGGGGTCGCCTAAGACCATCGGAAAACACATATATAATTACATATTGTTTTTGTGATTAACACTATGCTTTAATTATGTTCAATTTGTAACAATGAAATTGGGGGTCACCACAACATGAGGAACTGTACTAAAGGGTCGCGGCATTAGGAAGGTTGAGAACCACTGAGAACCTCAACATAAATGTGCAGACAGACTGCACAGATGTCCCCTTGAGATTCCCGTTCCCTGGTTATTCAGCCTGACACGCATCTAGGCACCGCCGTGAAGATGTGATTGGCAGGTGACTAATGAGCGGACTTGAGCACAGGGAGTTTATTCTGGAAATTTGGGGTATGACCCAATCATTACCCAAGGTCCCAAAACAGAAGAGGCAGGCAGGAGAGGTGAGGCGGACGGGGTCCCGAGGAGGCGCTGAGGCATGTGGGCGACCCCTGGACCCCGAGAATGGTCCCTGGCTGAGAGCAGCAAAGCACCTGGACTCTCCATCCTACCACCGCAGCGAGCCGACCTCCCCCAGGGCCTCCTGCAGGGGAGCAGCCTGCCCACCCGCTCTCAGCCCCGGGCTCCGAGCAGGACTCCCACCTGCAGAGCCGTGAGGCAAGACACGGCGCGGCTGGATCTGCGGCAGTTTTTTGTGATGCCGCAATGAACTCTGACACACTCCATTTCCCATGCATTCCGGGCACGCTGCCCCTGCTCCACAGGCCTGTGCTTGTGCACTCCCTCGGCCAGCGCACCTCCCAGGCCGCCAGGGGACGTCCCCGACCCCCCGTGCTGATCCCAGGGTGGACCCATCTCACAGAGGCTCTCATGTCCCCTAGCGACCCCCTGGCCCCCGGGCTGAGCAGCGGCGTGGCACTCCGGTAACACACTCCAGATAGTCCCACAAATACCCCAGAAACAGACACAAGAAACACACCCTGGGGAAGAGAAGGACGTGTCCCAGCAGCCGCTCTACCCAGTTTCTCCGGGGGCAGCTTATTCCCACAGGGGACCCCGCATGTGCCAAGGTGAGGGGGCAGGGCAGGTGCTGACCACTCCCCAGGCTGGGGCTTCTGTCTGCGATGGACAGGAGAGCCTCACCCGCCACGCACACGTGCACACAGCACTAACACGCACATATACCACTAACACGCTCATATACCACTAACACGCACAGCACTAACATGCACACATACCACTAACACACTCATATACCACTAACACGCTCATATACCACTAACACGCTCATATACCACTAACATGCACATATACCACGAACACACACACCACTAACACGCACAGCACTAACACGCACATATACCACTAACACGCTCACATACCACTAACATGCACACTAGTAACATGCACACACCCACAAGAGCTTTACCTCCCAATATAGACACAGTGGTTTGTTCCTCGATTTCTTCTGTTCTGGAATCTTCTGAGTGGCTGCCTTCAGCCAAGGGAGGAGAAGTGACCGGGGGAGCCTCGGGGGGGCTGGGTTTTAGGGGTGCTCCCTGGCAAGGTGAGAGTGGGAAGACGGCTCCGTTAGTCAGCAAACTTGGACGTCCTGTGAATGTGTGTGCTGGCACATGTCAGGTTTAGGTTATGCTGCTGAACTCCCCAGGCCCACCAACTTCCCCATGCGAGGGAGGGACCAGCGCCCACTCCCCGGGCTCCGGGCGGCAACTCGGGGACACTCCAGAGCCCAGCTCCTTCCCGTGGGCCCCACAGAGAAGGGCCGCGGTCAGCACTGTCACCGATGCCCTCGGGAGGGATCCAGTGGTTCACTGCACACGCTGTGTGGCTGTGGCGTGTCCTTGGCGAGGGCCCCACCTGGCACTCCATGGCTGGGTGACTGCCACCCACCCCGCCGGAGGGCATAAGGCACTCTGCTCTGAAAACCGGTCTTCCCTGTTCCCAGAGGCACCATGGAGTCGAGGACGTGGGTGCAAGTGGATGTTCAAACACGCAGGCAAGACACTTCCTGCAGCCGGCCACCCCCATTTGGCATGAACTCCCTGGGGACGCCGTGTGTGGGTGATGGTCACCCTGGGAGTCTTGTCTGAGGGCTCCCCTCCCCACCCCCCGTCAGGCAGGCAAGCAGCAGCCAGGGCCGGGACACCAGGCCTTCCCTGTGGCTGGGACCTCCACCTGGACCAAGCCCGCCCACGCCATGGAGGCTTCTGCCCAGTCCCTCTGGTGGTCAGCAGCCTCGCTCATCAGTGGCCTGCTAGTGGGCATAGCCAGGGACAGGCTGCAGGCTCAGGATCAACCTAACTAAATAGGGACCCCATTTTTGGTCTTTGACCCTCCAGGCCAACGGTCACCAACAGGTGGTCCACGGACCACTGGTGGTCCATGAGGTCCGAAAGTTGGCGACGGCTGCTCCAGGCTACTAAGTGGACGGATCACGAGAATTCTCGCTTCATATTACAGTGTTTTACAAAGTATCATACTTTAAAAAGATATTAGCTTGTAAGAAGATGTAATAAATACCTTCAAAATGCAGTGGGTATTTATTTAATTTTAAAGCGTGCCTTTAACATTTATGTAAAACATTTTTTTGTTCTCGTTCAATAGAAACTTATCTGGCCACTGGGTAAAGCTAGCAATAACACTACTGGTCCGCAATGTGTGAAGAGAGGCCACCAAGCTGTGGCATTTCACGCTGTGGTCCCAGCACAGCTCACACACCATGGTTTTGTGGGGTCACTGCATTCCCAGTGGCTGGTGTGTGGCCAAGGCACCCTGGGTGGAAGTAGGAGCCTGGTGGGCAAAAGTGCACGATCTCAAATCCAGCCGTGTCTGTGAGGCTTAGCGGTGGAGGAACACACAGGCAGCCTGACCCTTGGTGGGGGGCTGTTTTGGGCCACTACGCACTGACCCGTGTCCAGGAGCCCACCATACAGGTGGGCGAGCCACCTGCCCCACCTCCACCCTGGCAAGCCCAGGGGTCCCAAGCCCTGCCTGGGGGCGGGGGGGGGGTGCTGACCGTCCATCCCAGGGCAGCTCAGCACGCCTCCTGTTACGCCCTGGATGCCCGAGCCCTGGTGCAGACGGCGTGACACAGATGATGGGAGTGGAGGGCCCAGCCCCTTTCACGTCCCTGAGACACACTCCCTCCTGCGTCGTATCAGCAGCGTGAGCTGAGAAACTCACTGAGCTGGCCTCGTGCTGCCCTGCACGGCTCCCCCTTCTCTGACTCACTCGCTAGTCCCTTGGGGCCCTACCAGCCAATGGGATGCACAGTGAGGATGTCAGGGTCACCCGATGGACTCGAGGAGCGTGTAGAAGTAGAAAAACGGATTTTCTACTGAGCGGGAGCACGGCGCCCTGGCCCGTTTGGCTCAGTGGATAGAGCGTCGGCCTGCGGACTGGGGGGTCCCAGGTTCAACTCTGGTCAAGGGCACATGCCTGGGTTGTGGGCTCGGTCCAACATGCAGGAGGCAGCCAATCAATGATTCCCTCTCATCACTGATGTTTCTATTTCTCTCTTCCTCTTTAAAGTCAATAAAAATATATTAAAAAAAAAAAAAAAAGAGGGAGCACGGCCCAGGCTGGGATGGGGGCACTCACCTCTTCCTTCTTGAGAAGCTCCGGGTTCTCCGCCAGCCCACTTCCGAAGTCCCCTGACGCCTGAGGGTTCACAGAACAGGAAGAAGCTGGTGACTAAAGCCCCGTCCCCAGCAGGGCCTGGAGAGCAAACCAGGCAGGTCCCGCCTGTCCCAGACCCAACCCAGGCCCGGGCGGGAGGGGAGGTTTTTTGGTCACCAGGAGGGACCTGGCCCTCCGAGGTGTCGGCCGGTCATCAGTGAGACATGCCCGGTCAGACCCATTGGAAATCAATGTGGCTCCGGGCCAGACACACAGAGAACCATAAAGAAGCATGTTCCTCTCTTCCCACGTGTCATCCTGTTCCCGGGTCACTGTCCTGGGAAATGGCCCAGAGGCTTATCAGCGCACAGGGCACACGGTGGACACGGAGCAGAACAGAAGGCAGCTGAGGGGACAGGACCGGACGACCTCACTCTCTTCACAGCTGTGTCCACAGGGGCAGGTTTGTGGCCTGGAGCCTCCCCCAGGACACGGCCTTCCTCCTATCTGTCCACACCCAGGAACAGGTGGACGTGCCTCCTCAGTTCCCACCTGACTGTGTGCACGCACACTCACACTCACACACTGACACACGTTTGCAGTGCTATCAACTATCAACTCCGGGCTGTCCTGGGGCCAGTGTCCACCCAGCATTCACTTTGCGTCCCATGTGTGTTTTGAGTGGAGAGTTCCAGGGGAGGTGGGGCTATAGGGCAACTGAAAACGTACCAGGTTCCTGGTACCTGAAACGGCATCTTTCAGAGACCTTTCTCGTCCCATCACTTTGGGGTTCCTGGGGCGAAGGTCGGCCCCTGTTGGCTGGGGCTCTCCTCCCACCGGGTGAGGGTGGGGGCGGAGGAGGGAGACTCACCCCATCATCATCGTCGTCATCGTCCTCCAGGCAGTGCATGGGGCTCACCTGGGGGTCACTGCGCACCCTCAGCTCTGCGATCATCCCCTACACGCAGAGGGAGAGAGAGGTCACAGGCGGCCCTGGGGCAGGCGGGGGGGCACAGAGAGACCCTGACTCACTGAGCCTGGCATCATGAGGTCAAAATTTCAGGTAACATAAACCAGCATGAGAGGGGCCGTGCCCTGGGTCAGGCCAGTGCTGCCCCTGGGCAAACCTCAGGCGCAGCAGGAAACAGAGTTGGATTAACTGGTCGGAATCCAGGTCTTAACTCTCTTTGCAACATCACCTTTTCATAAAATAAGTGAGAAGCAGAGGACAAAACAGCCCATAGCGACTGGAGTGAGCTCTTGGTTCTCTGTGCACATGGGCCCCTCAGCCGGGTCAATTTCACCCGTTCACTCACTCATTCATTTACTCACTCACCCTCTCCATCCCTCCTTCCCACACAGGCTCCATCACATGCTCTCAGCCCTGCACCGGGCACCAGAGCGCCAGGACACGGCGGTGAACAGGGCCCTGCCATCTTAAGGCTGAGTGTGGATCTTAGAGGCGATCGTGCCCAGGTAAGAAAAAGATGAGGTGTGTCACTGAAAGTGGTGCCCCTGAGGGATATGAGGAAGATGGCACTGGGTGGGGGGAGCCCGGGAGGGCAGCAGACACAGGTGGGGCAATGTCCTGAACTGTGAGTACAGAGGGTCCACCCTGTGGAGAGGATATGGGGCACCTACTCAAAAGGGGGCCTTACGCATGAGGCAGGAAGCCAGTTGGGGACAGCAGAGATGATGAGGACTCAACCCTGGCTGCACTGGGGCCTTCTCTGATCTCCAAAGGGTAGAGGAGCAAAGGGTGGCACCAAGTGCAGTGTCTGGATCTCAGCCGACTCTTGGAGCCAAGTAGGTGAAGCTGGGGCCCAGGGGCCTCCCAGCGCCCACGGGGCTCCTGCAAACCCAGGCGGATCCTGTGCCTGTGACATGCGTTGTCCCCAGGACACAGCACAAGCAGGCTCTGCTGTGCACTGTGAGTTCTGTCTTCGATGCCACTTCCTAAAAGGCTTCCCCACCTGGAAATTGGGAGTGTTCTCAGTGCTTTCTCTAGCATTTTGTGTTCTACTTAACATCTTGATCCACTGGGATTGACTTCAGTGCAATTGTTCCTAAATAGAGACCATAAAGCAGCATGTTCCTTCCTTTCCACGTGTCCTATTCCTGGATCCCTGTCCCGGGAAACCGCCCAGAGGCTTATCAGCGCACGGGCCACGCGGCGGGCACAGAGCAGAACAGAAGGCAGCTGCTCAGTTCTAAGAAGCACATTTTAACCACCCTTCACAGAAAGTCTAGGTCAGAGGTCAGCGGACATTCTCTGGAAAGGGCCAGTTGGTCAGTATGTCCAGGCCTTTGTCACAAGGACTGTGTTGTACCAGGAAATCGACCAGGACAGTATGTAAAAGACGGGGTGTAGCTGTCCAACCAAACTGTAGGGACACCAACCGTTTACTTCATAAGACTTGCACGTGTCACAAAATGTTCTTTTTTCCCTAACCATTTAAGCACGGGAAGGCAGGCTAGCTTACAGGCTATATGAAAACGGGTGGTGGGCTGGACCTGTCCAAGGGCCATGTGTAGACTCCGGCCTCGGTCATTCTGTTTATTCCTCCAAATGCCCTTCGGACTCCCTTTATCAGCTGACCCTTGAGCTCATGACCTTCCTATTCTGCACCAACAAGGGACATGTGACCACCAACCACCAAACACCCAGCTGAGCCCGCACCTGGAGCTCCACTCACCTTCCGAGGCTCCGCTCAGGCTGCCTCCTCCAGGAAGTACCCCTGGACTCTCTCCCCAGGCTGGTTAGCCTCTCTGGGGGCCAGTTCTGCTTGACTCCATGTTCCCCCACCCACCTCCACTACTGACGATGAGGCCTGTGGGACAGTGTACCTGTGTGTGTGTGTGTGTGTGTGTGTGTGTGTGTGTACGTTACAGGCATGTGTGTTATGTGGATATGTGCATGGTTTTATGAGTGTGCATGTGCACGCATATGGGCACGGGTGTGGGGAAGGCACACACCCCAGTGTCCACCACCACCCGGGCTCTAAGGGTGCCATCACCCAAAGGAAGTGTAGGCCAGTCTGGGCTTAAAATTGCAAGGGTCAGCCTCTGGGGTCAACAGCAGCATCACATCTGAGATGCAAACTGTTGGCCCACGAGCCCCGTTGAGGGAGGGGCAGGAGAACCCCAGGTGACAGTCACCCAGGTTGAGAGCTCAAAGAGACGGCCGGAGGGCCAGAGGTTAAAATCCTGGAATGCCCCTTGGTGGCACTTTGTGTGTGAGGGTTGGGCAGGGGCGCTTCTGGCAGGTAGGGGGTCAGGGTGCTCCCTAACCATTTAAGCACGGGTAGGCAGACTAGCTTACAGGCTATATGAAAACAGGTGGTGGGCTGGACCTGTCCGAGGGCCATGTGCAGACTCCGGCCTCGGTCATTCTGTTTATTCCTCCAAATGCCCTTCGGACTCCCTTTATCAGCTGACCCTTGAGCTCATGACCTTCCTATTCTGCACCAACAAGGGACATGTGACCACCAACCACCAAACACCCAGCTGAGCCCGCACCTGGAACTCCACTCATCTTTCGAGGCTCCGCTCAGGCTGCCTCCTCCAGGAAGTACCCCTGGACTCTCTCCCCAGGCTGGTTAGCCTCTCTGGGGGCCAGTTCTGCTTGACTCCATGTTCCCCCACCCACCTCCACTACTGACGATGAGGCCTGTGAGACAGTGTACCTGTGTGTGTGTACATGCATGTGTGTTATGTGGATATGTGCATGGTTTTATGAGTGTGCATGTGCACGCAAATGGGCACGGGTGTAGGGGAGGCACACACCCCAGTGTCCACCACCACCCAGGCTCTAAGGGTGCCATCACCCAAAGGAAGTGTAGGCCAGTCTGGACTTAAAATTGCAAGGGTCAGCCTCTGGGGTCAGCAGCAGCAACACATCTGAGATGCAAACTGTTGACCCACGAGCCCTGCTGAGGGAGGGGCAGGGAGAACCCCAGGTGACAGTCACCCAGGTTGAGAGCTCAAAGAGATGGCCGGAGGGCCAGATGTTAAAATCCTGGAGTGCCCCTTTGTGGCACTTTGTGTGTGAGGGTTGGGCAGGGGCGCTTCTGGCAGGTAGGGGGTCAGGGTGCTGTATGTCCCCCATGACCATCCACTCACTGACACTGCCTGCAAGGCTCGGAGCCTCCAAGAGACCAGGCCCACAAAGGCCTGAATGACGAGGGCAGGAAAGCTCAGATCCCAGCCACGGCTGGGGCTGGCAACTTCCCAAGGACGGGTGTCACAAAATGTTCTTTTTTCCCTAACCATTTAAGCACGGGAAGGCAGGCTAGCTTACAGGCTATATGAAAACGGGTGGTGGGCTGGACCTGTCCAAGGGCCATGTGTAGACTCCGGCCTCGGTCATTCTGTTTATTCCTCCAAATGCCCTTCGGACTCCCTTTATCAGCTGACCCTTGAGCTCATGACCTTCCTATTCTGCACCAACAAGGGACATGTGACCACCAACCACCAAACACCCAGCTGAGCCCGCACCTGGAACTCCACTCATCTTTCGAGGCTCCGCTCAGGCTGCCTCCTCCAGGAAGTACCCCTGGACTCTCTCCCCAGGCTGGTTAGCCTCTCTGGGGGCCAGTTCTGCTTGACTCCATGTTCCCCCACCCACCTCCACTACTGACGATGAGGCCTGTGGGACAGTGTACCTGTGTGTGTGTGTGTGTGTGTGTGTGTGTGTGTGTACGCGATGAGGCCTGTGAGACAGTGTACCTGTGTGTGTGTACATGCATGTGTGTTATGTGGATATGTGCATGGTTTTATGAGTGTGCATGTGCACGCAAATGGGCACGGGTGTAGGGGAGGCACACACCCCAGTGTCCACCACCACCCAGGCTCTAAGGGTGCCATCACCCAAAGGAAGTGTAGGCCAGTCTGGACTTAAAATTGCAAGGGTCAGCCTCTGGGGTCAGCAGCAGCAACACATCTGAGATGCAAACTGTTGACCCACGAGCCCTGCTGATTGAGGGAGGAGGAGAACCCCAGGTGACAGTCACCCAGGTTGAGAGCTCAAAGAGACGGCCGGAGGGCCAGAGGTTAAAATCCTGGAATGATGCTTGGTGGCACTTTGTGTGTGAGGGTTGGGCAGGGGCGCTTCTGGCAGGTAGGGGGTCAGGGTGCTGTATGTCCCCCATGACCATCCACTCACTGACACTGCCTGCAAGGCTCGGAGCCTCCAAGAGACCAGGCCCACAAAGGCCTGAATGACGAGGGCAGGAAAGCTCAGATCCCAGCCACGGCTGGGGCTGGCAACTTCCCAAGGACGGAGTTAGCTGGGGAAGACATCACTGATGCAAAAGCCACAAGACCCACTGCAAATATTGAACAGACTTAGAACCACGTTAGGAAATCCAGAGATTTCATTAATAAAGACCATTTAAACTATGTCCTGCCACTGCTACACCACGGGCTACATGTCTTAAAGATGCGTGTGATGATCAAAACCCGACTTCCCATGAGTGACAGGGTTCCAAGCGTTTGGTCAGCATGACCTGGGGGGCCCCAGCACCCCCTTGGTCAGGAGTGTGGCCATGGTGGGGGGAGGACTCTGGGGGTTGGAGATGCTCACACTCCCCCTGTTGCTCCCCGCCATCCTCGGCGTCGAGCCTGCCCCGGTGGCCCAAGCCCAGGTGGCCGGTGGGCAAGCTCTTGGCTTCCGTGGACCAAGCGCTGGTGTATGTAATCCAGCCAACAAAGCTGCAGGTGAGCAACGGTGACAATGTCCACACTTCTCACTGAACACACAGAGTGACCGCGGGATGTGCCAGGAACAGGTCAGGCTCGGCCCAGCCTGCCTGGATGGAGGCTGCGGACAAGGGTCCAAGGGATCCGAGGGCAGTTCGTCTAACAACAGACCCTGAGGCCGAGACAGAACCATAAAGGAAACCCCTGACTAAGAGGAAGGTGGCTTCACAAAGAAGCAAACAGAGAAAGGACCGGCAAAGACATATGGAACAATGGCATCTGAACGGGTAAAAAGGGGGGAGGTAGATACATAGACACTGAACCAGAGTCGGACGTAGCATGTTAACAAGCAAAACACTGTAATGACTGCGTGGAACAAACCGCTTCCAAGGGAT